TTACTTCGCTCAATGGAGAATAGATGCAAAAATTACGGGGACCCCACCTTCTCAGAGGGGCCTCAAGCGCCTGTGGGGCTGTCCAGCCACCGCAAACATCCTGCCTGGCGCGGAGCATGCCGTGGGTGTTGGCATTGCTGACTGCCGAGGTTAGCTAGCTACAGCTGCCGCAGCTAGCTAGCTACAGCTGCCGCGACGCGCTGGATACACTATTGAAGCACAAGAAGGATCTCAAACAGCGCACGATGCGCTCGTGTGTAGTTGGCGGTATGCGGTAGCAGGTTAACTCCCATTGGCCCTCGTTCGAGCGCCGGGCGACAGCGCAGCCCCCCCGCCACGCCTCTGCTGCTGCTGCAGCAAGTTGACTTCGTCTGTACTAATACGAAGAGTATGCTGATAAAATGCTGCATCTGTGCTGTAAAACGCAACTGCGGCCTGCGGGCAAAACAAACTCTGGCCCCCTAAAAGATGCCAAGAATGCACCGGGCTCTCCCGGCAGTAGGAGCCGCAAGAGCCATGATGCCTACTGGGCTTGCAGCAGAAGCCCTCAGCCCCAACCAGCAGCTATGCAGCTGCTGAGGTGCTTAATATCGCGCCGCTATGGCGGCACTAGAGGCACAAGGAGCAGAGGAAGCATCCCCCAGCCACGGCCTGGGCTGGGTATGCGTATCTTTCCTTCGGTGCTCCTGCACCTGAATAGTCTTCGTGTTGCTACTGGCCAAATCTGAAGAAGGAAAAGCAGGCGAAAGCTACTGTATACACAGCCAGCCTTCCACTGATAGGAAACAGCAAGCGAACAAGCTCAGTCACCTCGTCTTAGACAAGAGGACTGCGCTCGGGAGCAACGGGCTTCCCAGGGGCCTCCTCCATTCGGTGATAGAGCTGCAGCTGCTGCTGCACTTCGTGCTGCACCCGCTGCTGCATCCCTGCCGCCAGCTGCTTCTTCGCATAGCGGTAATACAAGTAGCTCAGACCAAGACAAATTACAAATATCATAAACAAAATAGAGACAAAGTTGCGTGAGTCTAGCATCGAACGCAGCCACGGCGCCTCTTCAGTGTGTGCGTCGCTGCAAATACACGCCAAACCACAAACGAAAAAAAACAATAACACTTTTCCAGAGCAATACGACAGCAGGCAGCCAAACTGAGAACTTCCTGTATAAGCAGTAGCATCAGAGCAGCAGCAGCACTAGGCAGCAGCAGGCACTACTTGTGTTGCGTCGCAGCGCAGCANGCAGTAGCATCAGAGCAGCAGCAGCACTAGGCAGCAGCAGGCACTACTTGTGTTGCGTCGCAGCGCAGCAGCAGATGCATCCGGCTTCTTCGTCTGCCTTACACGACGATATCGTTGCATTCTTCAGCTCTGTATTTGTTTGTCATGGGATTGACCGTGGCGGAACAGATGGCTCTAAGGACCGGCTCAGGAGCAAGCTGCCCGCTGTATCTGCGCAAACAAACAACAGCCGAAGAAAAGCGAGCAACAACATACTGCACCGCTGCCTGCAGCGTGTCCCAGGTGTACGTACACCTGAGTCTGTGCTTGTGTGTGAGCCAGGAAAAAATGCGTGGGGCCCCCATTCCTCTGCCGCCGCACACATTCACGCATGGATGCATGCAGGCTCAAGTCTGCGGCGGGGGGAAGTGTGTGTTGTGTGTGGTACCTGGCCCCGTTGATCGTCATGGCGACAATGGACCAGCCGCGGTTATTCTTAGAGAACTCCAGCAGCCGGCGTCCGCTCTCATCCGCCATACACAAATCCACGGAATGCTTCTGGCCCCCTGACAACACCTCGGACAGAACGCGCTGCGAGCAGGCAGGGCCCCAAGCGTTCTTCCCCTATAGAACCCACAAACATACATAAACATATCCAGGTGTGTGTACACCCGAAACTCTGGCGTGAACAACAGCGCAGGCTCCGTCAGCTCTGCTATACGAATACAACGGACTACCCTCTGCTATGCAGAGGAGGAGGGCGGCATGGAAACCCTCCTCAACCCATTGCCTACACCCCACCCCTAAACCCTAAACCCTAAACCCTAAACCCTAAACATGCATCTGCTTATCCCCTCCACGTGCCGTCTCATATTTCTCACATTCCCGTTGAAGGAACAGCCATTGTTTGGGTCGCCAAGCCTCTGCTGGTAGAGCCACCACTCGCGCGAGAACTCGCCTTCTTTCATATCCGGCGGAATTACCTTCGTCGTGTCGTACAAACAAGACTGCAGCAGCGACTCCTGCACTACTTCACTCCCTGAAATGCCCCCACAACACACACACACACCAAACACTGCCAACGCTCTACACCAGCAGCAGCACAAACGACAGAAACACTATCAACTAATCCCCACAAGAGGGGAGGGAGCCAACAGCAGCAGCAGGCCCATAGGAGCAGCATGCGTGCAGCAGCACGGGGCCCGTAGGAGCAACACTTCCGCAGCAGCAGCAGCAGGAGCGTAGCATACCGGTGAGGCCAAGGACTTGTGCGTTGGGCTCAAAGGAGCAATAGAGCCGCGGGTATTTCTCATAGAGTCCCTGCGATAGACAGAGCTCTTCGGATCCTCCCTCCAGAGAGAAAACATTATAGATTGTCTGGAAACGAACGTGGGCCCCCAAGCGCAGCATATAAGGCGCCAAAGACTGCAAGAATGTGGTAGCTGCACCCGCACAGACACAGGATGCATGCAGCCCCAAATCAACAACATGAGGCAAGGAAGAATTGCTGCTTACACCCGTTTAACAATACGAACACTGCAACACAGAGGCCAACACGGAGGCCCATAGCAGCTACAGCTGCAGTTGCTGCGGAGTGCCTTTGTCTAGGAGGAGCAGCGGTGCAGCTGCTTGCAGCAGCAGCTGTAAAGAGAAAGAGGACAGCAGCGCTACGGAGCAGCATAAAAACCTGCCTATACACCCCGCATACCCTGTGCATCGCCGGGGTCCGCCCAGAAGTTAACAGCAACCGGCCACTGCGCAGGCATTCTCCACTCAAGCTCCACCAGCACGGGCTCCTGGCCAGAGAGGATTTCTT